AGACATGCTAGCCAAAGAATGTCCCCCAGAAACTGGATAATAAGATTTTGAAGAATTGCTAACTTGTTTTTAACACTGATGGTAACTCTTCTACTCCCTGGTAAGTTGTTCTATTGTTTAAATTAGCCTAAATGACTAAGAATTTTTATCTTCTTTCAAGGTTAATTGTGTTAAATCTCAGCTTCCAACTGGAAAATCTTATTATGATTGTAAACAAGACCTAAAACCCTTATTAGTAGGTATCATCCATGCATAATCACCTGTACAGAACAGACTTGTCGTCTCCCAACCTCTCTTTGATGAGTAAATCATGTATTCAACACCTTACAGTTAAAAAGCCACTCATCTTCCAAGCCCTAGATTTTTTTGGGGTCCTAAACTGATCTCAGAACAGAACAAAATCATGCAGTCACAGTCTTTTCAACTTTGAACATGAGCAAGATCACATCCCTCCTTCAACCTGATGTCCCCCTTTGCATTGTTGAAGCAACTATCTTCAGTGATCACTGGTACTTGCCTAAATCAGTGTTTTTCCAAAGAAAGCTTTCCATCTTAGAAGGACAACTCAGTTCCCACATACTCGGTACTCCACACCAAGCTGCATCAAACACGTTTTTGTTGGATTCGTTGTCAGTTAACAAGCATTTCAAGTTGTTCTCTAACAGTAGCCTTATCTTTCTCTTTCCTCCTCCTCAGATAGTTTTCTAATCACTAACTTTACTGGCAATGTTTTAATGGTATTGTCTCCATGGGTTGATACAGACACTGAACAGGACTGCAACTGACACAGACCCCTGGGGAAATTGACACAAGAAACAGTCTTGATCATTGATGTTTCCCTAATAACTACCTTTTTTATTATTATTATCTTCTATCTTTAAAGAGGATTTTAATCCCTCTTAATGTGTGTTGTGTTTGAGATAAGTATTCCTTTACTTAAAAATCAAAATTGGTCACTTGGATGGATTCAATTGGTTGAGTGATGTTCAACTGTATCAGTATTGCTTTGTATACTCTTGTCAAAATAGATAATATTTGTCTGAAAAGTTGTATATTACCTTATACAAAGTCACACTGAATAGACATTAAACCATTTTTTCAGATTCTAATATTTTTTTTAAACATTCCAAAATTATTTTTATCTTGGATCAACATACGGATAATCAGTTTGTAGCTCTTTGGGTCATCCCTTTCAATTTTTTCAATAGTGAATCCTGGTGGGCAGCATTCCAGCCTTCTGCAACTCCCCTAGCTTACAAGAACTGGCTAAAAATTAACATTAATGAATATAAGAGCTCCTTGATGTGGCTATTATCTTTTGACATACCTTATCTAGATCAGCTGCTTTTAAAATATTAGCTAGCACTGTCTCATCCTCCTTTGTTATAGATTATATACAAAGCCAAATATGGTACAAATACCTCCTGTTACATCATAAACATAGCAAGCCAGGCTTTTTTGTTGGGTTGTTGGGTTTTTTTCCGGGTATTTTATTGTTTGTTTGTTTTTTTCCCAAAGCACACAACTATTTCCTAATTTTATACTGGACCTACACCTAGATCTTTCCTCTTTGCATGTAAAAGACTGGTGCCTTCTCTGAACCTGCATCACCAATATCTTCACAACTAGCACATTTCCTTTCTCACCTGCTGCTTTGCTTAAGTTTGCAGTTATATTCACTGCCATTTACTTCCTCCTCCTCTTCATCCTCCCTGCCTAATGTGCAGAATGCTTTGTGTTTTATTAACACAGTTCCACTGACTGTGGAATCATGCCTTTCTGGCCATCAGTATGATTTGGTTGAATACTTTATAGCTTCCATTAACACTACCCTTTTAAAGATACCTTCCCGGGCAGTTATCCTGCCAATTGTTTAAACTCGAAGAAACAGACTCTTCTAAAGCTCCTTACATTACTGCCTGATGCCATATTCTGTTTGCACAAAGTAAATACAGACAAATAACAATCACTGGTACCTAGGCAACCGTGGGATTTCAGGTCAGCTATTAACTCTTCTTTATCTGCTAGAACAAGGTCAACTATTGATTTATTCCACGGTGGGTGTAGAGCTGTGTGCATTAAAAAAATGACCTATTCCTTCTAGAAGCTTTCTGGAAGTCTTTTTATTGGCATCATGAAATGTCAAGTAAATATTACCTGTTTTAAGCAGACTATTTTATTTGCCTCCCTATAAGAAGCATATACATAAGGAAGCGTTTCTTCCATTGCTGAGGATCTCTCACAGATCTGTTAGAAACACGCAATAGGTGAGAGGTGGTTGGAAACCCGAATAACTTGAATTTGTCAGGAAATCCTTGTTTGCAGCTCTCAAAAATCTTGAGGGTGTTATGTAATAACCATTTAATCACACATGGGACAACATGTCTGAAGTCCACCTCTACTCAAGTCTGGACGAAAGCATTAGCTAATGTTCTGCGCCCCAGGCCTGGGCTGACCTCTCGCATGCTGTTCCATCCTCAGGGGACTTCTTTACTCCCTCCCTACCATCACATTCATTTCTTCCTCCACAGCTTTGCTGTCTACCCAATTCCTCTCTTTGTACAGTAGCTTGGGAAAATCACTCCAGGCAAGGATTTTGAGTCTCTCAGATATGACATTGAGGAGATGTGACCTGACACACAGAAGGGAGAGAGGGAGAAGATGGGGGTTACAAGCTAGCCACAGCTGAAGACTCAGACAACCACGAGTCCCCTGTAGGAGAAAGGGTAGGTTTCAGTGAGTCACCCAAGGGAAAGGATCCTGATCCTGAAAAAGAAATAGGACCGAGGAGGATTCAGAGAGAAATGCTCTCCTGCTTGAGGCTCTGAGCATGCCAAGAGACACAGCAGAAAAGGGGAGATCTGTGAGAACCATTGATTATTTCCTTGGCAAAGCAGCAAAGTTCCCTATTACAGGAAAATGGCATGTGCAGTATTTTATGTCCCAGAAGATTAATGATCTTCTGGTGGGCATACGTCTCAGCAAACACAGGGCCAGGAGAACTAACAAAAGGTTTTATAGGAAATATACCACTTACCCCAGTTAAAATCTTATCACTGTGCTGCAACACGAGATGATGCTTAGAACAAAAATAAACCAACAAATAACTTGGGGAACAACATAAACCAGCTCATGTAGTGTATTTCTCCACCCCTTCTATGGGCAACCATTTGGTTCCAAAAAATGATTGGAAACCTTAATGCAAGCAGTTAGGCTGCATTTTCTACAAGTCACTTCTCAGGACAGTAATTCATTCACACTTTGCCTCATTTGCAAAGCAGAGGGAAGAGTCACCAGACAGGGATGTTCTTGTCATTTCCACCTCAACCACATCCCCCACACCAGGAGCACAGGGAGGAAGAGCATCAAGGTGAAGGAGCATGAAAGGGGTCAGCCATCAAGCCAAGCACTGGTCTCAAGGGAAGGGGCAGCAGCAATGGGGAGCAGTTTATGTAAGCGACGCAGCTCCCAGGGGAGGGAAGCAGCAGTAGCACAGAGCAGGACGTGCTAAATACAGATTGTAGCAGGTGGTCCAAGAACTGGCTGTGATTTCAGCAACCGGTTTATCCAAACCGGACGGAACTGCCTACCGCACAGCCCTGCAAGAGCAAAAAAGCAAGCTAACAAACACAAAAGCAGAAATCAGGCGGCTGAGGAGATTCAGCAATCACAGATTGCCAGAAGATGAGTTTCACCCCGAAAACAATTCCCACAGATGTCAAGAATGTGACAATCTAACGTATGAACAACACGGAAGTAAACCCAGGCCTCTTTCAACAGAATCACAGAATCGTAATTTCGGCTGGGACCTACCTCCAGAGGTCATTTAGTGTAATCCCTGCTCGAAGCAGGACTAATGAGATCTGGTTCACCAGACTGTGCCCACTCAAGTTGTATACTTTCAAGGATGGAGGTTCCACAACCTCTCTGGGCAACATGTTCTTGAAGTTTCCCATGTCATAACTTGTGTTTGTTGTCTCTCATCATTACCGACAACCAAAACGGATCTGGCTACATTGTTTCTGTATCCTCTCATCATGTAGTTGCAGACAACAAAAACATCCCCAACTCTGCCTTCTCTTCTCGAAGCTGGGCAGGCCCAGGTCTCAGACTCTGCTCACGTGCCATGTTCTCCAGGCCTCTGATCATATTAGTGATGCCCACTGAGCCTGCTCCAGTGTTTCACCTAGATGCCCCGGAGAGCCCAAACTGGACACAGCATTCCAGATGCCATCCACCAAACGCTGAAGATGAGGGGCATGATTTCCCTGGGCCTGCTGGCTGCACTTCTTACCACAGCTCAGGATGTGGTTGGCCATCTTTGCCGCAAGGGCAAGCTGCTGCTTGAGTCCCATTTGTTATCTATTAGGACCCCCAAATATTTTGCTGCAGAACACTTTCCTAGAAAACCACCTACACTCATGTGAACAAACTCTTCCTCAAAGAGCTTATAAATTGAGAATGATGAATAGCATACAAAGATTAAGGAAGACAAGCTATTTGGTCAAAAGAAACAGAATGTATATCGTACACAATGTAAAATACCATCTGACTTGCACTAGCTTTTCCACATGCAATAGCTAGTTGGCCAATTCCTTGCAGCGATTTTTCATCACAGAAGTGGATCATGAGGAAAGACATAAATATTTCAACAAGTTTCCAAGCAACTGAAAAACAGGGCTTTGCAAGGGATATATTAAGTCTATGTTTCAACCTAGTCTTACTGGGAAATAAGGTGACGTTTCGGGTTGTGTTTTTTTTCCCCGAATCAATTGTTAGGTTACAGTCAACATCTTGATATGAACAACACAGATATAGTTCTGGTATGTATTTACCAGCTGAGGTAAACACTACCAACTGTCCTAGTCCTGCAAATATTTTAGAGTGAACTGACTAAATTGAGGGGAAAGGACTTTCCTTCACATGAATATGCTAGTACCACATGTCCCACCTGTGGGGAAGGAGAATCTGTCATCCCTTAAAAGGTGCTGGTAACTTACCCCAAACATCTGCCGAAGGTCAGGATCTCGAAAGCGGAAGGGAATATTAGACACATGAAGTCGTTTTGGAGTGGATTTGCTCTCGGTATTCTCACTGCTCTGTGTCTGTGATTGCTGTCCATCTGTCTGTGCCCCTCCTTCTGTCTGCTGAAATCAGAAAGACAAAAGTGTGCATTAATGGAAACCACACAAATTCCTTGCACGTGCTTTATCTATCTCTTTTTAGGCATTAGTACTACACTTGCGATTGCAGTATCTCAGCACTTGACAATTATTTTGATTAAGTCAGTAACGCTTAACAATTGATCTGTTGTTCTTCTCCTCCCTTTCCACGAGTAAACAGTAATAAGATCTCAGCCTCCCTCCCCTCAGATCACCTTTTAGCTTAGTAGATTTGCCTTTGGTTTTCTTAAATTGCTTCTTTCTTTTCCCCTGTTCCTCCTCACTTCAGCTGCCACCATATGAAAGCTCTAATGAAGAGGCGGATCTTTCATATCCTGAAGCTGGGAGGTAGTGCCGCCACTCTAATCTCATGTGGCAGGATGTTCATGCAATCATCAAAATCCCACAGCTGAAGTGGCAGCTCTTCACTGGGCCAATACCAGAAATGCATCCCCAGGCAAAACGGCATCTGCTCTGTCAAGCTCCCTTCAGAGAAACATTACCCCAAAAGAAGGTCTATAATTAAATGGTAAAATCCATATATGAACAGCTTACGGATGTCTTTGATCAACTTTTCTCGTGCATTTAAAAGTCAGCCCAGGGACAAGAAACAGCCATTACATTCCAGGATTTATAAAAATTCTAAATGCTACTTTCTGCTACCAATTCCACAGCTAAAACAATAGAATTTGTGCCAGTGCTGACTGATACAGTGAAGCCAGGTCAAGCAGCAGGCAGAGGTACTTGTGCATAGAGCAAGTGCAGCAAGAAGGCAGGGCAGTAAGGGAGACCAGTGTGCCAGAGACCTATGGCTTGATGAGAAAATGGCATTTTTTCCCCACTTGAGTCAGAAAAATGACCTCAAAAACTCAGAGCTCCAGAACAAAGCAAACTACGATTTGGTTGCTTTTATTGCTCTGTCCCTTTCCAAGGCAAGCATTGACAGACCAAGGTATTCAAAAAGCACTCACCCACTCCCTCCATCTCTCCTGCTGCTTGCCTCAGCCTTCTAAGAGTCATGCTTTGACTACCTGTGTGATGCACTTTTTAAGTGTCATTTCATTTCTTTAGATGTCAACCTGACTTCTTCCTTAACCCATCAAGTGAAAAGAAGTTCTACGAGAAGCCAAGGACCGTGTAATTGCTAGAGTCAGACTTTTTAGGCACCTTCAAGAACACACACACAGGTCTTAAACTAACAATTTAAGAGTAGGAGGGGGTTTTTTATTGTTTTGGGGCTTCCGCCCCCCTCTTGATACACAATTTGTGTACCAAAGAGGAAAGAAATCTAAGGGGAGCTGCTCACACTGACTCCCCAGCCACTGACTGGACTTGCTAGACTGCTCTGCACATCATTCAATATACAACACTTGGTGAATATTTGGAAAGAAACATCTCTCCACAGATTAACTAAACTGGGGACATTAAGGGACCCTCTTCTGAAACATCTCTTACAGACATGACCTTGAACTTCTATATTGGCTATAAAGCACTAACAAGAGCAAGCAAACAGTAAGCACTGGGGTCTTGCCATGCTGAGCAAAGCAGTGGCAGCTTTCCATTTTTTTTTTAGTAAGGCTGCACTGGCAGCACAAAACGTATTTGATCTGCTTAATATAAATTAAGCTGTGATAGAAAGAATGGAGACGCTGCCCTGCAAGTCTCCCCACCCCTCAGAGCCACGGAAGTATCAGGAGAAGCCTAGCAGGATGAAGCATTTTTATTTGGCTAAGACTCACCCATGCCCAAAACATCAAATTTTCAAGAACCACTGAAACTTGCATTTGATCATATCTAAAAAAGATGCCTCCCTCTCTCCAAGTTCCTCCTCTTCTCCTGGCCTCACCTCTATGACAAAAATCTATCTCCAAACATACAGAGTGCACCCTAAGGGAAGAATCAATGCAGCTGGCTTATGATTAAATCACACTATGCTATTTGGTGGTTTTATTTTTATGACTCCATCAGAGTCCTTTGCTCCTCAGGGCAGATCTGTCCAAGAACAAAACACAGGGGTAGCCCATCCATCACCACCACGCACGATGCCTGCAAGTAAGTGCTCCAAAATAACTCCCCAAAATCATCAACACTCCTGCTAAGAGGGATCTCCACACTCCATTCTGGAGCCCTGCCAGTGCAGTTTGCCAAATGCCCTGTTTTCTACGGCGCTGCAAGGAATTGGGAATTGGGCAAACACCCATGCACAAAGGTGCATCTTCAAACACGCACACACTACTGCATCTTCTGCAGCGTGAATGAGGAAAGGCACAGGTTCTGAACGGTGACAACAAAACTGGTTTAGTCTTCAAATTCAAATATAGGTTGCACAGGACTGCATCTACTGCTTCCACAGGGGAGGAAGCCAGGAGGTCATCTGCACGCCTCTCCCATCCATTTGTTCGCAGGCAGAGGGCAGAGCTTTCTTACCAAGGGTGCAATGCATCGTGTACAGTGAGTGGCCTGCTCAAAACCATCCACAGCTGTTCCTGCATATGGCAGAGAGCTGTCGCCACACAGCAGTCATTTTGCAGCACATGTGATGTGTACAATAAGGCAAAGGCTTCAAAGAGAAGAAACAATAGAAGGAACAGGGGATCTTGGGTCCACTCTTACCTTTTTGACTACACTAGGAGTCCCCAAATGCTTTTCAGGCTTTCACATATCCTGATTTTTCAGCAGTCGTTTAACTTTAAATACCTTTTCTCTCTGGATGCTGTAGCTCCCTCATTTCTATCATCCACAGCCCTAAGGTAAGATTTGAACTTTCAGCCGCTATAACATTAGCTCAATGCATTTGTCTACTGCCACACATTCAGCTGCAACACAAATGAAAGAAATAGTCTCCTCAGATCTTGCTTTTTTTCCCTTCCTTTTATAGTTACTCCTTGCCTTAATTCATTAGGAAGGAGATGAAAGGAAGGGCCTGAAGCCTGTTCTCAGGCAGCACATAATGGAGACTGGCAACAGCACTACTCTGACCAAGCCAGATGATAAAAGCCCGCGTTTCACCGAGTGCCCACTCCCCACCCCGACTCCTTCCCCACACCGAGTTTCAGCACGTCAACACTTCACAGCAAAGAATCAGCCCTCTCCCTTCGCTACAGACAGCGATTCGGCTCAGAGGAGAGCTAATCCATGTTCCCTAGGTCTCAATGCCTGTCATCAGGCAACACGGAGACACGCTGCGACAAAGATCCTGCGTCTGAAAACGGTATTGGATCCACCTCACCTCCTCAGCACAGCCTGGGTAACATACACTTACGGGGGCGATAATGTCATTCACGCCTGCACACGCGAGCTTTGAGCTCTGCTCAAGGTCACTGAGAAATGCATCAGAGTTCAGGACACGTGCAGTATGTGCTTCGCTTTTAACTACTTGCTGCCTGTGCCCCCCTGCCAGCTCCTCCCTCACACCCGCCAGCACTAAGGACACCCTGAGCAAGAAGCAGCAGCTGTAAAGAGAAGCATGGACATATACATGTGCACCTGAGCGTGTAAAAGGGGAGAAGGACACCTAGCAACATGAGGGTATTCTGAAAGGTTTGGGGGCTGCTCTACAACTGTCTTGCCACATCTTGACTTGACTCTTTTGTCCTAAAGCAGCTGGTGAACAAGCAATTGCTGAAGATTTCTCCTCGGCAGGAGAGAGGCAGGAGCTCCAGCACCACCTGAGCTCCGAGCAGATCTCCATCTGCATGGCCAGACAGAGGGGCTACCTCCCTGACAAGCCAGACAAACACCAATGCGACAGGCCAGCACAGGGACTATTAATACCCAGCACATTCTGTTTCCATCTCCCACTTGCTTCTAGAACTGGAACCGCGTCAGGTCCAAGTTATAGAAAAGCAAAAAACAACCCCCTGTCCTTTCCCTCAGGAAGCAGGCGGTCCAAAATGTTGTGAATCATAATGAGGAGGTTAAGAGCCATAAATCACTGCAAAGAAAATATTTACAAAATACAAACTGTAACTAATAACTATATTTAAAAGGGGACTTGGGTGGCTTACAAAATCTGGGAGACAGACTGGGTTCACTCTGCTTGTTTGGATCAAGTGCTTAAGGAACTGTGTGGAGGCAAGGACTGAAAGCTATGACTGGCAGAAGGCAATCTTCCCATTGCAAAGGAGAGTGCAGACAACGCGGGAAGACCTCTGCAACTTCTCGCCAAGAAACCACATCAAAACAACCAGTCCCCCATCAACGAGTAGATATCCAGCGAGCAGGTCTGGTGGAAAAATGAGTGAAGAATTCGGCACCAGATACAAACCCCCTCTCCTGCCTCACCACACTCGACCAGAGTAGACTGAGGTCCTACACATCCAAGAGCAAAGGGCATGGGAATTTCTGCTACTTAGACTACACTTGTTGAGCAGACAGAAGACTGCAGGGCTAATAATCACCTTTCAACAGCAGTAAATACAATTTTAGAAGTATATCCATGTACTTGATTTTTCAGAGATACCAGTAGTGTTACACTGAAAAAAACTGGGCTACATTACAGGCACAATTAAGAACATGCCCAAATGCTTCGTATGCCAAAAATTGGACAAAAAAAAATAAATCACTCATGATGGACAAAATAATTTCTGCTAAGCTTTTAACTATTTTCAATACAGTCCCATTAATTCAGGGCATATTTCTTCTGATTATAATTTACCTGCTTTCAGAAACACTGAAGCTTAAGTAATTTTGTTCACTTTCCTCATGAAATAAAGATATACCCCACCTGAAGTCACAATACAAACTGACATCAGAAAGCACACAGGAAGCTTTGCTACCTATCCTGCACAATGAAGACATCTCTGATGAGTCAGGCAACATTTTCCATGCAGTGATGTTTAAAATTACTTGGTTTCTCTGAGTAATATTTTTTCCTAGGATTCTTTGGTGGTTTCTTCTTTTTTTTTTTTAATTTTTTCTTTTAATGAAGTGGTGAAATGAAGCCCCTGGAAGGCCTGCTCTGCTGGGCACAATGCCAAACCCTT